CTACTTGATCCACGGTTCATTTATGACATATGCAGTCAAACATTTGCCGTCCTTTTTAGGATAACATTTTTCGTTATTTGATGCCTCACTCTGGCTCTTGCCAGGGGCTGCAATATAGCCTGGCCATAAATATGGCCTAATGGCTGAACGCGGTTTCTGGGACCTCTCCACGGTGACACTAAGGCAAATATATAGTACATATGGTGCTAACTCCATATTATGGCAACACGCAGCGTGCTTGAGGCGCGGATAAGGGCCTTTCCTTGCAAAATTTATCAATTTTGACGTTCACTGAGGTGTCATCGGGTGTTTATCGATTGTGTGATGTCCTGGTGGGGTAGAAAGTCAGTCAGTTAGTCAGATCCACGGGTTTCACATATTTTTGTAACAATTCGGTTTAAACAAAACCGACTGCTTTAACCAGTGATTGCAAAATGGCTAATGACTCATATCCGCGTGTTGTCATTTATAAACAAAAATTACCTATTTTAAAACATTTGTAATTGCAACAAAGAAATAGATATAAAATGTTTGACTTTTATTCACAGCACAAAAAACATTAATGATTTTGTACTGTACATCTTGAGCGGTGTCCGTGGCTTAGGCGTTGCGAGTCTGACTCGTAATTCTAACGTATCGCAATCGCAACCAACTGCTGGCTGCGTGGATTTTTATCATGGTATGGGGCATCGCAAGTCGATCTAGACTAAACTGGGGACCAGAGTCCTGGGAAAGTTAAGACGGCCTTCCAAATGCTGACAACGTTAACCACCCAGCGCTTCACAACTGTTAAGTCTCACATAAATTTGGAAGAGTCACATTTTTAAAAAAAATGAAACAATACATTTTAAAGTATATATTTTAACAGAACAAAAAATTTGCTAAAAAACTTTTAAAAAAAAGTTTATTACAGAATAAAAAAAACTATTAAAAAAAAGTTTATTACAGAATAACTTCTTCTTATTCTTCTTTGCGTTCACCAGCTGTAAACTCTAGTGGAAAGTTCTGGTTGTTCGTCCACTTCTGGGCCGCAGTCCTGTTCTAGAACTTGAGTGTTGCTTGTACATCAGTTTGACATATCTGACTAATTTGTATGCAGAAATTCACAATGGATGAAAAGCATCACGTAGGTATTAAACGCGGTATCTTTCATTTATAAGGCGGGTGTGATACCAACTACGTTAGGCACTCACATGTTGACATGTTCTAAAAACATGACTAATGTTGTACCGGCCAATTGCGCATCAACAAGCAGCCAAATGCGCACCAACAGACATAAATATGTCGCACCATAAGACACTAGATGATCACTCAAAAACAGCAGCACACTTGCACCCCTGGAAATATTGGACTGTCAAGTCAGCTGTGGAATTCCCACAGGAATTTCGTGTTTGGGGGACGTTAAAAATATAGAACCGTCGACTCTTACGACCTGCTTTTAGGCAGGCAGTGGGTCTATTTTTGCTTGCCCCATAAAAGGGTCCAGGAACCCACACGGGGAAATGATAGAATATAATAAGTGCTGACTGGTGTACAATAAATAGTTGTAGCCCTATATGCCCTATAGTCTAAAGGTGTGGAAAGTGGTCCTTTACTTCACAAAATATAATAAGTGTATTCAGTGTTTAGTCCGCTCTGTGGCTAAGTCGATGCGAACGCTTCGTAATGCCGTGGTGCCGGATTTGATGCGCCTTGCCTTCGTTTCTACAGTGGTATCAGGGAGCCGACCGTAGGGCAATAACAAACTACTGGACGTAAATTTGCTGAGAGAAACCACACAACAAGCCAGGGCCTGCTGGGGTTGGTTCTGCAACGTCCTGTAACGGATACGCAACTAACTTTTCAATTGAGTGTTTAGCTAAACAACGAAATGAGAATAACAATTAATACATTATGAAGGGTAGTCGCCGTGGCGTAGCTGCTTGACGCTCGCCTGTGGATCGAAAGGTCGTGGGTTCGCTCAATGGCGGAAACAGACCGTCTTTAAAAATGACCTTGGCTCCCAGGTTGACCCAGCCTTGAGTGGGTACCAGGTGCAGTCCTGGAAAGTAAAGGCGGCCGGTGTGATGCTGACCACATCACCCATCTTGTGCCGTTGGTCTATAAAACATAGGTCTAGCCCGATATACCCAATACACCTGAAAGACGTGGAAAGAGGTCCTTTACTTGTACGTTACGAAAATTTCCCTGAGATTGACAAGTTTCTCAATAGTTTTTTAATGGGACAGTGACACTCATTGTGTGTGATTGGCACTTGAAAGCAACAGTCATAGGCTACCAGCCTGCGGTGATTGCGGAACCTCGACTAATGAAGAACTTAGGTGGTACTTTTAAAATAAGGCACATTCTCACAAATAAACGTAACTTTATTTAAAACAAAAATGTTAACAGTACAAAATGGAAACATTACAAATAATTCCGGTGGTGGATTCACGTGATCACTGGTACAATACGATACAATCAAGGGTATAGATGTGTAAACATGGAAGACAGAGGGAGTTTACTTACACGGAAATACGGTAAATCAAATGGTTCGCCTCCTTAGAGAGAATGCCTCGTGACGCCATACGATACAAGGCATAAACCAAAAGAGAAGGTCGAACAAACAAACGAACTTTATTTTCATAGGGTCACAAACTGGGCACGCAAGCCCGTTTAAATACCAGTCTTTCACACAGCAGTTGTATTTTATCAATAAGGCATGTTATTTTCATTTGATAATATTAATATGCATATTGTGAATATCAATAAAAAACAAAAGCATGGGTGGTAAAATGCATGCACATACTAGCGCACGCACACACACAAAGACACCCACACGCACACATACATACCCACACACTCACATGCATACATACCCACATATTACACACATAAAACATAAACATACACACACAGACAGAAACACGCGCAGACACACACACATGCGCACAGACACAGATACACACACAAACAGACAGAGGGACACACAAACCCGCAGACACACGCACGCACACATGCAGACATATACAAACATGTAGAAACATACTTTTGTGTGCAATATATGGGTATATGAAAGGGAAGTTCATTAATGCACGTAAAACTTGTGCGTTATGGTAAAAGATTGAATGGGATATGAGTTGAGTTGAGTTAAGTCAAGAATTGACATCCTAGCACTCTGGGCATTCCCATACATGCTCCGTCCTCATCTTCAACAGCCAGCGCAGAGTTCCAATACTGATGCTATCGGTCACAATCTGGTGACATATCCGTCTTGAATTTCCTCAGTGTAGTCAGCTGGTCAGACCCTCTGGTTACACCCAGGTGCCTCATTCTCTCCAGGCCATAATTATCTTGTTTCTCTACTGATTCTGTTGCTTGTTCCTAAAGGGCATTGATCCACATTTGCCTTGTCATGTATCAATTCACCACCCAGTGGTGCAGATCCAGCCTATCTGTCTGCCTGTTCATTACCCACCACGCCGGCATGGCCTTCGAGAAAAGATCCAAAGTGTGCCCACTACCCGTGACCTTTCCAGAGAAGCTTACCACTCTGCTCGAAGCATCCTTGTCTTCACCTTTTTTCAGCATACTTTCAGACTTTGTTACAAATACGACATGTGTATGCATCTTGTTCTCTATCCACAGGAGAGCTGCAGTTACCGCCACAACCTCCATTCTCATGCTAGATGTTGTGGTGTCACATGTGAGGAGAGAGAGAAACCGTTGGCTACACGAATTTGGAAAGGAAGAACGCGTGTAAATGTATGTTCTAGCCTGGGTGTTGCCAGACGGGTGCTGCCGCAGTAACCGGTTTCCAATGGGATCCCCAAGATAACGTGAATGACCACAGACTAGAGGTCTGGATAGTTGTCACAAAGATGTGCACTGGCGTGGGTGGTCTCTAGCGACAGTGGCCTTAACATATCGGAGTCGTCAGAATTACACCCACATTAATCACGAAAGTGCATTTGTGCGACCGTAGGACGTGTAGGACGAGGACTGACTGTAATCCTGTAATTAAGTGTAACTTGTGATGCATTCTGTTTTTATGATATCTGAATATTGTGTGGAGTTCTATGTTACTGTTGAGCAGAAGTTGTGACCGGTAAGATTTACATTATCGAGTGACCCACTAGACCCTTGGCAAGTGTGTGAGGCATCGTGTCATCTAATACTTCTCCAGCGAATTTCGCACGCTTCACAGACACACACACACACCCACCCACAGACAGACACACACGCAGATACACACACACAGACACACACCCAGAGACACATACGCAGACGCACATTCACAAAGATACACGTATAAACGGGCAGACACACACGCAGACACACGTAGATACACACGCAGACACATACACGCAAACACACATACACACACGCAGACATACACACACACAAAGACACGCATGCAAACACACCCGAAGACACACACACACAAGGAGACACACATAGACAAATACACAGATATATTCACACAGAGACACATTTAAACACACACTCACACATACTCTCATGCAGACACATAGGTACGAAGACACATATACACACAGAGAGGCCGTCAAAAGAGCAAAAAGAAAATCATATCTCCCTCGACACCCTAAGCGGTAAAAAAAAAAAGGAAGTGAAAAAGAAGCTATTATCTCATTAGACAATTTAAATCAAAGCATACAATTCCTTTAAATAAAACACTGTCTTGTGTCAATAACAGCATAGACAATTATAGGTGATATAGTTGGCACGATGAGCGAATTTGCAAAATTAATTCGGCACAACACAAATTAAACCCCACAAAAAAGCCTTCCTGTTATATGACGTGATATAAACACATACAGCATTTTGAAGCTGTTTAAGGCTGTCCATATGCTCATGTTATGGGATTTGGAGTTCTCTCAGTCAACAAATTTAACTCTGGTCACTTCTTATCAAGTCAATGATCCAATAGGAGAATGCAAGATCAACTGTTATTTTCTAATCGGCATCTGAGGTTGAAAAAATCTGCCCCTTGGAAACAATCAGTGTTTCTCTGGCGACAGCACACAGAGAAGCTTCTGTCCAAATGTTGTCGCATTTGCTGAAATACAACAAAAACATTTTAAATAAACTAAACAGGGAAAGAAGGGAGCCACAGTGGCGTAGCAGCCGGACACTCACCTGCCATCCGAAGATCCTTGTTTCAAATCCGCATTGCGGCGTGACTACATCTGTCAGGTCGACCCTGCCCAATGTAAAGGACCGTTTTCCATACTTTCAGGTGTACTGGACATATCGTGCTAGATTTATACTTTATAGACCGATCGGCACTTAGTGAAAGATGTGGCCAACACATCACGCCGGCTGCCTTTGCTTCCCAGTACTTTACCTGATACCCATTTGAGTATGGGTCCACCTGGGGGCCAAGGTCGTTTTGTAAAAAATGTTCGGCTTTCTTCGGATCTGAACCCACCACTATTAGATGCGCAGACCAGCGTCTAGCTGCTATACCATGGCGGCTCCCCCTGCCTAAAGTAAGTATCAGGTAATGTCATGGGAAGTAAAGACGGCCAGTATGATGCTGATCATACCCCCATCGAGTGCGAACAAAAATATAGGTCTGACACTGTGTGCCCGATGTGCAAACAGCGTGAAAAGGAGTTTCATCATGTAGCAGGTCCTTTGCAGAACGTCGCTCTCCTCCTGTTCTGCCTGAAAAAAACTTAGTCTCTGGCTAGGTCTCCTGCCTCGTGAACTTTCCTACCCGAGGGGTCACTTATATCCTGTGCTTATCTTCAAGGTGGTCGGCCCATAGCCCTTTTATTCTGGCACCATTTACTTTACATTATTTTCCCAATCCGCCATGGCGCTTGATATGACGAACATACTTCAGCTTCTGAGAAAAGATGCTGTGTATTAGTAGCCAATCTTCATTGATGTTCAGATCTTTTAGGATGTCAGTATTTCTTTTCTTCTTTGGCCATGGTCTTCAGAGAATCTTTCTTTAGCATTTCAGTTCAAAAGCCGCCGTTTCCTTCCTAATGATACTACGACTCACTTTTGCATACTGTTACATGGAAGATGCTTTCTTTCAATTTTATAACTTTGATTTCCTTATTGGTGCTTAACCATAGATTTTAAATGCTGTTTTAATCTGACTTGAGTCAAGAATTGACATCACAGCACTCAGGGTATTCCCATGCATGCTCCGTTCTCGTCTTCAGCAGCCAGCGCAGAGTTCCCGTACTGATGGTACAGGTCACAATCTGGTTATATATCAGTCTTGCCTTTCCTCTGAGTGTAGTGAGCTTGCCAGACTGTCTGGTTACGCCCAGGTACCTCTTTCTCTCCAGGTCATAATAAAGCTGTTTTAATCTTTGTGCCCCTATGATCATCCTCCTTCTGACCTCTGTTGAACAGTTTCCACTGATGTTTGTTCTGGAGCCTAGAAACATGAAGCTTGTGACATTTCAATTTCTTTATGATTTATAATTTTTTTTTAATGGGTGACAGACAGTTTTGTCTGTGGAGAATATCGAATGTCGAAAAAAGAATCGACATCTTAGCACTCGGGACACTGGAGTGTCTGAAGAAAAGGGGGTTTACTTTCTTCTTTCTTGTTTGCGTTCACCGGCCTGTAAACTCCGGCGGAAAGTTCTGGTTGTTCATCCACCTCTGAACTTTAGACTTGTTCAAGAACCTGCGTTTTTAGTGCACATCCGTTTTACAGATATGTCCTTATCTGTATACAGACTGTTGGTCCCTTGCCTCTCATGCAGATGCACTACGATTTTGAAGGAAACTCCCAATTAGTCAACTTTATTGACCGATGTTGTGTGTAGCTTTTCATTGCGCCGTTCTGTGAGCACGCACTGACCTATGTTGCGTGTCGCTGTTCATTGCGCCGTTCCTGAGATGACCCGAACGGAAAAGACTCACACCCCAGTGACCAAGAAGAGTCCAAGAAGCTATGAAAGAACAACGTCACGGTTAGCATGAACAGCACCGTTATATAATATCTGGAGGGATCTATCAGCTATTTCTTCGTCTTCAACTTCCAATGAAGCATAGTCTCTCAGCCAACTCACGTCAGTGTCTGTAGATTTTTTTTTAATGGTTGGTTGGATAATGTAGCTAGTTTTAAATGCGCTGGGGTAATTTATCTTTAGACAGCCATCTTTTGTTGCCTTATACGACATGATTGGTAGGTTAAGTAATTTAAAGGACTCATATACAACTTAGATGCATACTGGACAATACATCACCAGATACAGGAAGAAATAGAAGAGGGTAGGTAGTCAACTGTTCTAGCAATGAAATATAACATTTTTATGTGTTCTGCCAGATGACGTAAAATGTGGGTACCCCTCACGTGATCTCGGTCCTGTGTTTTTTTTTTTTTCAGTGTGATTGATTCTGCCAAACCATCGTTTTAGACGAAGCAGAATTTATCGCAGTCTGACAATATTAGTAGTACAGCTGATCTTTCAGGTCGCCTCAATGTTTTCAGTGCTTCTCCTCTCATCACATGTTGTAAGAACACTGTCTGCTTCTTTGTTACAGTTACCAATATCTTCCAGCTTTACTGGCATTTTCAGTGCGATAGGTAATAATTACTCTGATTGTCCTGCACATTTAAAAAAAAAAAAAAGGCCTCAAAAACAGCATTCTCACAGATTTTATTCATTTCCTAACTAGTTTATTCCCATTCTACACTTCACTGCCATACAACAGAACAGGTTCCAACAGTATTCCAGTTCTCTACCTTCTGATAGCTATGCAAGTCCAAACAAACTATCAAAATGAAGAATGACTAAAAGCAAACTAGCAACTAAGGCACCGTCATAAGAAAATACATACAGAAAGACAACGAGAAAGCGTTTCGACAAAAATCTTCATCGAGGAAGAACATTGAAACTAACCTATCCAGTCAAGGAACCACCGAGGCTTGTCTTGCCAAAGCACAGTCAGCAGGTAAACGGGGATCCCCGAACAGACCAGCAAGATTCCCATGCCGGTGTCAAACGGTGCGGCCACAAGTGGCACAATCAGCAGGAAAGCAACAATGGCCAAGAAAGTAAAGGGAATTATCAACGGCATCTGCAACAAACAACACATGCATCTAATTTTAAATAGGCCGATACATTTACTTAACCTTCCTTAAAGATATCCAACTGGTTCTTTATTAATATCCTACCCCAGATGGTCTTTGATTTAGCACCAGCAAGGAGATCAAAATTGGAATTTTGAGAGCATCCATCTTTCCTGTAGCAACATACGGATGTGAATCGTGGACTATTTCTCAGTCCTTAAGAAAGAGAACAGTGGTTTTTGAGCTGAAATGCTTTTGAAAGATTTTCAGAATATCTTGGACAAAGAAGAGGAGAAATACTGACATCTTGAAAGATCTTAGCATGGAGAAAGATTGGGTAATAAACAGCATCCTTTCTCGGAAGCTGAAATATTTAGGTCAAATCAAGTGCCACGACGGATTGGAAAAAATTATAGCAGAAGGCATGGTACCAGGAAGGAGGACAGCCCAACATTTTAGAGGGTGGTAAGACTGGGTTTACTGGCTTTCTGATGCTTTCAACGACCCCAAAACATCTAGAACTGGCCCTAACCCACCTACGTCCCACGAGAGAGTGCAGCCTAGGTCCCGGGACTGCATGCAGCCTAGGTCCTCACGGCATGACATTAGCCAGCCAGTGGCAGCCAACGTGCACTGGATCGAAAACTATTTCTTCCCACGACGCTTAACGGCAGAAGTGGTTTATGATGATGATAATGCAAACTTCCCACACGTAGAACGACTTCCTACCTTGATAGGTCTAGGCATGTCGGGCCTGGTGAACCTCAGGTAGACCATTCCTGCGATGGAGGCCCCAACAGACAACCACTGGGCAAAACTCAGGTAGTTGATCAACGAATACACGTCATCGGATATCAGCATGACCAGGGACAGGCCGCCCTGAAAGGTTACCAGCGGGTCATATGAGCAAGTTCAAGGGCATTCCCTGTATGACGTATTTATTTACACATATATTAACATGATCATCTTTATCATTTTCTTGTTGTTGTTGTTGTTCTTCTTCTTCTTCGTCCTTTTCTGAGTTCACCCTTAAAAGGGCAGCTGACACGCTGTTGTGTAGTTTACAGCTAGAGTGTGATAGCTGTGCCTTTTTGCCCATAACATACAATTTCAGTAAACCCTCTTACTATTGGCCTTTTACGACATGCCTATTAGCACGCAGTGGGACTATTCTTCCTCCAATAAGCATAAAATGTACCTAATATAACATATAATGCGTCAGTGCGAATGTGAAGATATTTCCGTTTTGTTGTTGGCACCTCTCCGTCTTCTCGGATGATAGTGTCCATACTGTGCTAGTGGAAGGCATGGGTATCACAGCCCATGGCGATGGCGAGTGTGACTCGCAAGACCCGCCCGTGTAAGAAAAGTCTTCTATATACAGCATGGGAGCGCAAGGGATTTCAGGGCTGGTGTATTTCTTCACAGACGCTGAGCTCTCATTATTCCTGCAATCATGTTTTATTCACTCACATTCCCACCCTGATTCCACTCTCACTTTCCTATCCAATCTTTTTTCTCCACGCAGCAGGATCCAATTCATTTTGTTCCCAAGAAACTACCTCAATGCCAGTATCAGTCATGACTGGCTTGCACACATCTTTATTCCGTTGCAGACGCCCTCCTCGACATCTTCTACCCATCGGTAATTCCCCATTCAGGATGTCTGTAGGGGCTATAGCGTCCCCCATTCTCCAAACGTCCCTATACACATACAATTACTATTTTTAATAATATAGTCGCCAGTGTATCACTAGAAGCTCAGATAAAACCAAGAATAGTAGTAACTTTGTCACCTGCATGTGGGTGTCGTAAAGGCCATTTACGGAGGGTTGGAGTTGAGACTGACTACTTCGTGCCATTGAAAACATAAGCTGCAAAATGCAGTCAGTCATGAACACATCCATAAAGGTTAAGACTGTCAGGTGCCAGACATGGCTGGCGAAACACAAAGCACCTCACACATCGATAATCACAGACTATGAGCGAGCTTAATTAAGAAAATCCAAACTGGCAAACTTTCGCTAGAACCGGCTGAGAAACCTGCCTGTTGACATCGGGATACCACGGGGTGAAAGGAAATGATTTGGAACACCCTGTAGGCGTAAGACATGCAAACAGAACCACAACGAGTAGACATACCGACAAGAACACTTACAGTGAACAACACAGAAGGTAGTGGTGTGTGCTGTTGTTGGCTGATCATTGCCATCAGACTCGGCAGTTGGCCCTCCCTGGCTCCCACAAAACATAGCCTGTCGACGACAGAAAATTAACATATACAGCATAAGCTTTGATTATATATATATATATATATATATATATATATATATATATATATATATATATATATATATATATATATATATATATATTCATTCAGTAGCATGTCCCTCGCGGAACCTCGCTGCCATAACAACCCTCCGGAAAACCTACCTATCCTGAGCAAGATGTCCTGCGTCTGATACACCCATCTGGAGATCATCTGCCACATCCTGCACCCATCTTCTCCTTGGCCTTCCTCTTCCTCTCTTCCCAGGCATATACCCCTCCATTATTGTTCTCTCTAGACTTTCATGACGTTTCAAGTGACCAAAATATTTCAATTTTCTTTGTTTTATTGTCTTTACTAACCAACCCTCTTCAATATTCAGCTCTTGAAGTATGGATGCATTTGTTCTTTTCTTTACCCAAGATATTCTTAGAACTTGTCTGTAACATTTATATTCAAATGCATTTATGCGCTGTTCCGCTTGTTTAGTAAGTGTCCAGGTCTCACAGGCGTATGTTGCAATGGGAAAGATGCATGCTCTTAAAAATCTGACCTTTGTAGTTCTATCTGTACAATTCCATAATTTATTCAGTTGTTTTAGTCTTTGAAGAGCAATTTATAGTCGCCGTTTTATTTCTTTCATTGTGTCACCATTGTTGTATATATATATATACAGATGATAAATTCATTATAATATGTTGATTTAAAAAAAACATATTCAGTATCATCATCATCGTGTGCCCTGCCAACTGGCAAAGACGCTCATGCGTCCCCACAGATCACGATCCGTGGTTGCCTGGAACAGCTCTCATGATGATATTGATAATATTCAGTAAAGTGTGTTGATTTCATGAGGATAGTCGGCGCAGAAGCAGTACTAAAATTCATCGGTAGACAACAGATCAAATGGTTTGGCCATGTAACCAAATTGGCATCGGTCAGGGCACTGCAGGCAGCATGTTATACAGATACAGCGGTAACAGATCCAGAGGTCGACCACGCAGAAGATTCACTTCAGAAATATCGGAGGGATTAAAAAGTACTGTATACGAAGCGAGGTGAAGAACCCGTTCCAGAGATCTCTTCCTGTCCTGATGCTTCGAGGCGTTCCAGGAGTTGAGAAGAGAATGTATTAATGATTTAAAGCTGACAGATTCGTTATTGGTGACAAAGCTGATGTATTCATTATTGGTGATAAAGTTGATGTATTCACTATTGGTTAGTTAGTTAGTTAGTTAACTATTTTCGCTCACTATTGGTGATAAAGCTGATGTATTCACTATTGGTGACAAAGCTGATGTATTCACTATTGGTGATAAAGTTGATGTATTCACTATTGGTGATAAAGTTGATGTATTCCCTATTGGTGATAAAGCTGATGTATTCACTATTGGTGATAAAGCTAATGTATTCACTATTGGTGACAAAGCTGATGTATTCACTATTGGTGATAAAGTTGATGTGTTCACTATTGGTGATAAAGCTGATGTATTCACTATTGGTGATAAAGCTGATGTGTTCACTATTGGTGATAAAGTTGATGTATTCCCTATTGGTGATAAAGCTGATGTATTCACTATTGGTGATAAAGCTAATGTATTCACTATTGGTGATAAAGCTGATGTATTCACTATTGGTGATAAAGCTGATGTATTCACTCTGTGTCAATGGTATAAATCTTATAGATTCACTATCGGTGATACAGCTGAAATATTCAGAAAAATGTGCTGATGATACAAAACAGAATCATTCCGTACAACCTGAGGACAAAAGGCTGATACTTGAGTATCTTGAGTATCTGTGTGGGTCCTGGGGCCACATATGATGCGTGGGGGCAGTGGGAAGAACAGACATATCACACTTAATAATAACAGTTTAAAAAAAAGTTACTCACATGTCCTGTACAGAATGTTGCACAACCACCCACAGGATCGTTTGACTGTTTGTGATTTCACTTGGCAATTTTACTTTCAGTAGTTTGCCATAGTCTGTGGCTAAGGTGATGCAAACGCTTCGTAATGCCGGGATGCCGGGTTCGATCCTAGCTGAGGGCCTTGCGCCTTGCGTTGGTTTCGACAGTGGTATCAAGAAAGCCGACCGTCAAACTACTGGACGTAAATTTGCCTAGAAAAGCCACACAACAGCCAGGGGCTGTTGGGGTTGGTTCTGCAACGTCCTGTAAAGGATACGCAACTAACCTAGTTTGTCATAGCTTACAAAGAAAGGATGCAAGATTGTCTAAAGCGATAGCATGGACAATTATCATCCAAAGAACTGGTCAAAAACAGGAAAGACCGATCGGATCCGAATGTGAGCGACAACAACAAAACAAAACAAAAATTCTCACGTTTAACAAGCATCCCCCAAGGGGGAGCTTTTGGTTATAATTGTGACCAGGTTATGTCGGCAAATTAAAATGGCTCAACATTGCTCGCCACCAAGTAGCTCTGAAAAGGACTCTTTTAGAGTTAATGCGATCAAAGGAGACAGACACAAATACTGTCCCGACCGGCGACGAGGTCGTCTACCGGCCAGCCAATGGCCGTCCTTGTCGCGGATGACGACAGACAGTTTCTGTGTAGAGACATTAAGACACATGCTGCTGATGATGGGAGCACGGGGATTGGGGTGGGGGTATATTCATTGCCCAATAACAAGCATGTCGTAAAAGTTGACTAATTAGGGGTATTTTCTTCGAAGTCAAAGTGCATCTGACTGGGAGACAATGAAACGGCAGTCTGCTTAAAAATAGGTTAGATCTGTAAAACGGATGTGCATGCTATACGCAGGTTTAGGAACTAAAGTCCAGACATGGATGAACAACCACAATTTTCAGCCGGAGTTTACATTTGGTAAAGGCGAAGAAGAAATACATATATTAGTAAAAAGAAGGACACACATAATTAATGACTGGTACACGTGCTCAAAAAGCAGAACATATTTACAAAAATTGCTCTGGATAGATTTTCAAAAGGATTTGAACCCTATAAACATTTTCATCCACTCTGCAGTTTCCTTTTTTTTTTTTTTTTACCTTCCTGATGTGAAGAGTAGACCATTAACACCTCCGAAAGTGGAGAGGGCCACAAACACTGGGATGACAAATGCAGCTGCGCCGAAAACTTTGTCACCAAATGTCTGCAAGAAATTGCAACAGCAACAAATGCAGTACTTTTGAAAAAAAACAAAACATTATTTTCAGTAAAAATGTATGATAAAAACATAATGTAAAAATTAAGTTACAATGTGAAGGTATAATTGCACAAACCCACAATGATATTATTTTTTTTAATCCACGTGATTCAGTTGTTATATGTGTCATCATTATTATCATCACCACGTGCCCTGCTGACAAGCATAGGCGCTCAGGCATCTCCACAAATCTTCGTCCCTTGTCCTCTGTATCAGTTCCACCGATGATATTCCTCCGTGCCACCGTCGCAGTCCATCGGTTATCATCTCTCTCTCGGTCTGCCTCTCCCTCTTCTACCGTTGATCTTCCCAGTCGTCATAATTTATAATGTAATGTAATTGTGTGTATATTACTTTCAAAGATGGCCTACGCATTTAGTTGTCGGGGTATAAAATTGTATGAATTATGTAAATACAAATAAAATTACACACTCTTGTGTCCATTAAACTATATGATTTGCTTTGGTCGTTTCAGCGCATTAGTTGTGCGATGTGTCTTTAAAAAAAGGCGTTTTCATATTCATTTTTCAAAATGTGTAGCAATTTCTAAACTGATACCAGGTAAAGTCCTAGGAAGTAAAGGCGGCCAGTGGGATGTTGACCACATCAGCCACCGAGTGTCTGATCGTTCTGTACAAATATGAGTCTCCGATGTGCCCCTTGTGTGAAATGGGTCATGCACTTACTTTTAGATATGCCTTATGTTAAGGGTGACTAATAATATTTTGAGTTGAAAACGGTACAGCCTACTGATTTTTGGGGAGTTGAAAACGGGACAGCAAACGGATATTTTGAGTTGAAAACGGGACAGCCCACTGATATTTTGAGTTGAAAACAAGACAGCCCGCTGATGTTTTGAGTTGAAAACAGGACAGCCCACTAATTTTTTTTGGAGAGTTGAAAACGGGACAGCTAACTGATATTTTGAGTTGAAAACGGGACAGAACACTGATATTTTGAGTTGAAAACAAGACAGCCCGCTGACGTTTTGAGTTGAAAACAGGACAGCCCACTAATTTTTTTTATAATTTTTTTTTTGGGTTGAAAACGGGACAGCTAACTGATATTTTGAGTTGAAAATGGGACAGCTAACTGATATTTTGAGTTGAAAACGGGACAGCCCACTGATATTTTGAGTTGAAAACAAGACAGCCCACTAATTTTTTTTTGGAGTTGAAAACGGGACAGCTAACTGATATTTTGAGTTGAAAACGGGACAGCTAACTGATATTTTGAGTTAAAAACGGGACAGCTAACTGATATTTTGAGTTGAAAACGGGACAGCTAACTGATATTTTGAGTTGAAAACGGGACAGCTATTTTGAACTGAAAATAGGACATCCCAAGCAAGTCAGCCCCCGCCCCCCCCCCCCCCCGCCACCCCAAATCCAATTGCGCACTTTCGGCGACTACCGCCACCGCCGAGATTATCTCGGCTCTAAACTGGATGGCTGGGACTCACAAGCAAATAAAATGAAGGAAGCTGCAGGAGATGCGGTAGCTGCTGCTCGTGAGTCCCAGTCATCTAGTTTAGTCCCGCTCCGCGCCGCGCGTAGCGGTGCGGGAGTTACTCTCTGCGGTGGCGGTAGTCGCCGGAAGTTCGCAATTGACATGTGACTGAGGCTCTGTTAGGGTAAATTTTCGGCCTCAATAATTTGCGACCGTTATTCGGAGGATAGCCAAATTGTGTTTCTCTAGTTGAATTGCTCAAAGGGGTGGGGTGGGGGTGGGGTTACTATTAATGTAAGGATGAACAAATGGTCACTCTACCGACGCAACACTAGCATTTTAAAAAACCCACACAAAAAGTACTCACCACAGCAGTAGCGTAGGATGCCAGCATCTCTCGGGGTGAAATCACGGTGAAGTATGCCACGTTGGCCATCACGTACACTAGCGTAACCAGGGGGATGGAAATGTAGATAGCTCGAGGTAAGTTTCTGGTGCAGGAGAAACAATTGATTGTGGTCATGATACACTGACCCTTTTTCCACGCATTCAGGCCTAGATCTTTACTGTATAAACCAATGGGCACCCAGTGGGTGATGTGGTCAACATCACACTGGTCACCTTACAAACCCTATAATTAAGAATAGTTGGCTTTGTATAGGTGATGTCGTCAACAGCCACTCCGGTCGCCTTTATTTCCCTGGGAATTACCTCGTAACATGTAAGACTGGGGTTTCCTTGGGAGCCAGGGCTTTTTTTTTCCCTGGAAGATAAAAATCCAACTTCTATGTAGATTCGAACTAAAAATCTTTGCACCGACAAGCGACAGTTCGGTCGCTAATCTAACATGGCTCTCACGTGAGGGAGTTATTATTTTTTTCAGTTATTACAGAACCATTTCTTTTGTATGTGTGTGTGGGTGTTTGTATGCGCGCGCGCGTCGCGTGTGTGTTTAATCTGGTTTTTGTCCAAGGATGAAGGCTTGTCGCCGCAATGTCCTCTGTTTGTTTACTATAAATTATTTTGTAAAACTAACCTATATATCTCATTTTTCAATTTTTTTAAATTATGCTTTCACAACTTTACCGAACTCTACTAATCTCAGTATATGTTATTAACAGTAGGTCTTGTTGCAGAAGGTAATTATATATGACGGGGCTATTGTATTCGGCTAAGTTTTTTCAGGGGCCACAATTTTGAAACTGGAGGTATGTAGGTAGGTAGTTGTACCCCACCAGGACATCACACAAGCGATAAACACCCGGTGACAGTAAGTGCCACCATGCGGATGAGGATCACCCGTGGAGAGGTCCCAGAAACCGCTTTCAGTCGTTAGGCGAAATCTATGGCTAGGCCATAACGATGCCCCGGCCATAGTCAGGGCCTCCGGCGACGCTATGGTGGGGCTTCAAATAACAAACACATCCCACAAGGGAACGACTCTGAAAGTGGAGATCGTTACGGGGTAGAGATCCAAGACCTAGCGTAAGAAGGTTTAGGTTTCAACAAACCATCAACATCATGGCACAAGGGTAGTAACCCATAGGTGCTCTCTTCAACTTCTAACTCAAGTTTGAGTCCAAAGAATATCAGCGCTGTGCAAGAGCTCCGTAGTACCGGCTAGGTTCCAGAAATACTTTTGGTAGATTTTGAACTCCAAATTTTGCTCGGCAACTGCCGTTAGGCTGATCTTTTTGATTTCCAGCTGCGAAAGGATTTTTTACGGGGGCAACAATACACACGGGCGTCCGATCTTACTACCCAGATCTAGGGGAAATTACTAGAAGTCCGCGTGAAAAATTCCCAGCCTTTACCAGGGCCTGAAAACTGGATCTCCAGCACTCAAGCCACGCAGCCCCCCCCACCCCTTTCCACCCCCACCGCGTAAGAAGATCACTATTACCGCTAGCAATGAATCGGCCGCGGGCCGCCGGTTAAATAGTCCTGATATCTGATTCAAAGATGCGATCTCCATAAATGGCGGGTGGCAGACAAACCACTACTTGCGCACACATGAGATACTACATCTATCTATGACTTACCTGAAAGGGTCTACCATTTCCTCCGTGACGAAGTTCAGAAAATTCCTAACAAAGACCAGAAAATACAAAAAGATATTAACTAAAATGTCATGAACACGAATAACAAAGATGGACAAAATAGAAAGGGGTGAAAAGCAAGTATAAAGGCTCTCTCTTCGCAAAAAATTTAAATGTCTGACGATTATGACACACATGATGATGCTTTTATTTGATCTCTGTGCTGTTTAAACAAGAGATTCAAGACGCCGTGGCTATGGAGTGGCACTGGGGCTATGGAGTGGTACTGTCGATGATAATGGAGTAACACTGTCGGTGATAATGGAGTAACACTGTCGATATTAATGGAGTGGCAATGTCGATATTAATGGAGTGGCAATGTTGATGATCACGGGGTAGCAATGTTGATGACGATGGAGCAGCAATATCGATGATGACTGAGTGGCAATGTTGATGATGATGGAGTGGCACTGTCGATATTAATGGAGTGGCAATGTTGATGACGATGGAGTAGCACTGTCGATATTAATGGAGTGGCAATGTTGATGATGATGGAGTAGCACTGTCGATATTAATGGAGTGGCAATGTTGATGATGATGGAGCAGCAATGTCGATGACGATGGAGCAGCAATGTTGATGACGATGGAGTAGCAATGTCAATGAGGACGGAGCAGCAATGTGAATGACGATGGAGCAGCAATGTCGATGACGATGGAGCAGCAATGTTGATGACGATGGAGCAGCAATGTTGATGACGATGGAACAGCAATGTCGACGACGATGGAGCAGCAATGTCAATGACGATGGAACAGCAATGTCGATGACGATAGATCTGGGACGTGCTGATGGTCAATGGTGATTCACCTACCAGCCAGCATATGCAAACAAGCCCGAGTAGAGAGCCAGAGAAATGCTTCCAACATCAGAGACCGTGTCCTGAAATGGGTCGCTTAAATGTTCCACCTCACCTGGGAGACAGAACAATAAATTACAATAAGAGTTTCTTTTTCTTTTCTAAATCTATTTAAAACGAGAAGCAAAACTCGTTAGCTAAACATTATCATAATCACAGGCGACAGAAAACGTTGCGGTTAGAAAACCATCAGCACATGACATGAATGGACTATGATACAATTACTAGGAAATGTGTGGGAGTCAACACAGACGAACCTAGTACAGTACTAATCTTTCAATAATTCATTTTAACAGTAATGTAAAAAAAAAAAATTTAGTTGCATCCTACCACAGAGTCGGCTCTGTGGCTAAGTCGATGCGAACGCACCGTAATGCCGGGACGCCTGGTTCGATCCCAGCTGCGGGCCATGCGCCTTGCGTTGGTTCGACAGTGGTATCAGGAAAGCCGACCGTCCAGAGGCAATGGCAAACTACTGGACGTAAATTTGCCTAGAAAACCACACAACAGCCAGGGGCTGTTGGGGGGTTGGTTCTGCAACGTCCTGTAAAGGATACGCAACTAACCTTAACCTACTACAGAATGTTTCAGAGCCAACCCAGCATGCTTTAGATGTTTGTTATTTTACTAGGCGAATTTTACCTTCAGTAGTATGCCACTGTCCACTGAACGGTGTGTCGATACCCATATCGGTCGTGGATCGTTGCTGGAGCTACGGAGTTTGTGCTTTGCGCGACACTCTCAGCAGATGGCAGCTAATCTGCAGAGAGAGACTGGGCCATATGGGATACAAGCCAGTGCAATAAAGTCGATCCTCTCGACTTTAACCTAACTTTACAGTTTTACAGACCAGTCGGAACTCGATTCTTGGCGTGGCCTGTGATTGCCAGGTCATTCCCTGTTATCTACTTTTGGCTAGGGTCTCCGGGCAGCCAAAAGTGCTTATACGCTCTTTTTCTCTCTCTTGTTGTACCCCACCAAGACATCACACAAGCGATAAACACCCGGTGACACACAGTACCACCATACAGATGAGGTTCACCTGTGAAGAGGTCCCAGAAACCCCTTACGGCCGTTATGGCCACATTCGTGGTTCTGTTATATTCAGGGCCCCCAGCAAAAGCCAGGGTGGGGCTTTACATAAAAAAAAAAAAAAAATTGCATCCCACATAGCGACGACGATAAAATCTTACACAAAATCACTCCCTGTACGGTCACATTATAAGTCGTTCCCATATGGGATGCAATTGTTCGTTATTTGAAGCCTTACCCTGGGTTTTGACGGGGGTCCTGAATATAGCTAGGCTACAATTGTGGCCATAACGCCTGAAAGGGGTTTCTGGGTCCTCCCCACGGGTGATCCTCATCCGGATGGTGGCACTTTGTGTCACTGTGTGTTTATCGCTTGTGTGATGTCCTGGTAAGGTACAACAAGCAAGCAAGCAAGCCCTATGCGGATATGAAATAAGATGCTCGGCTCGCTAGCGTAGTTGGTTAAACTTGACTTCGCTGGCGACCGGGTGACGAACTTCTTGTGGTCCGGGTTGACGCCCGGGGGTAGGCAGAAAAGCCAAATTTCTCCCAGATTCACAGTATTTATCATGGAACCAAGGCCGAAGAGTTGCGATATCAATAGTGCCGAGCCAATGGTTAACAACTCATGGTTTCTAGATATAAAAAAAAAAAAAAATGAAATAAGGTCTTCAAAACTTTCACGGCATTTCAAGATGAAAGAATGAATATACTTCTAAAAAAAATTAAAGGCTATTAAAATTGCTAGATCATTTTAACTGAGCTGTTTCAACTGAATGCGTCGTCATTCGTGCCATGTCTGCGTGCGAGCGGGTGTGTGTGTGTGTGTGTGTGTGTGTGTGTGTGTGTGTGTGTGAGGGAGGGGGGTGATATGCTGAAAAGTATGGAGTTATCACTTACTGTATCAAGACTGAATGTTGAATTAAGAATCGACATCATAGCACTCGGGACACCCCCATAATCGGTCCGTCCTCAACTTCAGCAGCAAATGAAGAGTTTAAATTCCGATAGCACCAGTAACTGTCTCATAGTACATCCGTTTCGCCCTTCCCTTGTGTGTTGAGCGACGGCCGGATCCCCTGGTAACTCCTCGCAGCGCCATTCTCCTCAGACCGTAATGATCTATTTGGGCTTCCGCACTGTTCACTCGCTCACAGAGGGCCCTCACAACATTTAGCATGTCATACATCAGTTCACCAATAAGTGGTGCAGAACCGGCCAGTCTGTCTGCCTGTTCATTTCCCAACACACCCGCATGACCTGGAGAGAATATCCAAAGGATACTAACTACCCGGGACCTCTGAAGTGATGCTTGCCACTCTGGGCACGGAGCATACCTGTCTCCACCTTTCCCAACATGCTCCGTAAGTCAGTGACAATCGGGCACGTGTGTACAGCTGATGTTCAAGCCAGCAGAAGGCAGCAGTGACTGCATGTATCAAGATTGGAATTTAAAAAGCAAGAAGAGATTATGTAGCATTATGAAATCCACGAACATTAAACGAAATTAAAACCCATTTAAAATTTAAAAAAAAAATTTTTGCTTACGTTAAATCAGTTTAGTTGATGACACGGATGATTTCAATTTTAAAAAAAAAGGAAGCAAACAATGAAAGTATGATAACTAATAGCGATGGCCTCCGACCTTGACCGATGAGAACGAGGCCAGTAATAATGATGACCACGAGAGCGGCCAGTTTGGCTGCTGTGAAGACATCTTGAATCCTGGTTGCCGCTCGGACACTTGCAGCGTTGATGTAGGTCAACAGACCTGAAATACAGACAAACAAACTAATCTCCTACTGGCCGCTCGGACACTTGCAGCGTTGATGTAGGTCAACAGACCTGAAACATAGACAAACAAACTAATTTCCTACTGGCCGCTGGGACACTTGCAGCGTTGATGTAGGTCAACAGACCTGAAACCAGACAAACTAATCTCCTACTGGTCGCTCGGACACGAAGTGTTGATATAGGTCAACGGACCTGAAACACAGACAAACAAACTAATCTCCTACTGGCCGCTGGGACACTTGCAGCGTTGATGTAGGTCAACGGACCTGAAACACAGACAAACAAACTAATCTCCTACTGGCCGCTGGGACACTTGCAGCGTTGATGTAGGTCAACAGACCTAAAACATAGACAAACAAACTAATCTCCTACTGGCCACTGGGACACTTGCAGCGTTGATGTAGGTCAACAGACCTGAAACATAGACAAACAAACTAATCTCCTACTGGCCGCTGGGACACTTGCAGCGTTGATGTAGGTCAACAGACCTGAAACACAGACAAACAAACTAATCTCCTACTGGCCGCTCGGACACTTGCAGCGTTGATGTAGGTCAACAGACCTGAAACATAGACAAACAAACTAATCTCCTACTGGCCGCTCGGACACTTGCAGCGTTGATGTAGGTCAACAGACCTGAAACACAGACAAACAAACTAATTTCCTACTGGCCGCTGGGACACTTGCAGCGTTGATGTAGGTCAACAGACCTGAAACAGACAAACAAACTAATCTCCTACTGGCCACTGGGACACTTGCAGCGTTGATGTAGGTCAACAGACCTGAAACATAGACAAACAAACTAATCTCCTACTGGCCACTGGGACACTTGCAGCGTTGATGTAGGTCAACAGACCTGAAACATAGACAAACAAACTAATCTCCTACTGGCCGCTCGGACACTTGCAGCGTTGATGTAGGTCAACAGACCTGAAACCAGACAAACTAATCTCCTACTGGTCGCTCGGACACTTGAAGTGTTGATATAGGTCAACGGACCTGAAACATAGACAAACAAACTAATCTCCTACTGGCCGCTCGGACACTTGCAGCGTTGATGTAGGTCAACAGACCTGAAACCAGACAAACTAATCTCCTACTGGTCGCTCGGACACTTGAAGTGTTGATATAGGTCAACGGACCTGAAACACAGACCACAAAAAAAAAAAAAAAAAACTAACCTCTTTTGGGAAGCTGGTGTGGTGTAGTGGCTAGACCTGTGGATCCGAAGGTCTTTGGTTCGAATCCAAACGACTTTTTTTTCTTCCATAAATGACTTTGGCTAACTCAGTCTTAAACGGGTACCATGTTGAAATGAACCAAGACGTAGACTTGAAGTTACGCTTTCAATTATCTTGAAATGATTCTGATTCAACTTGTAATGAATCGTGGACTACTTGGAATGATTCTTGGCCTTCTACTATCTTGGAATGTACCTTGGCTTACACCGACTTTAACATCTAGGGTTGACAACACAAACGCCGCTCAGCTTCATTGTACAATCTGTCAGTTTATTCTGGTCCATTTATTTCACATTTATTTCACTCGCGACATATTCGAACATTAACCATTCACAACATAAAAACTACCTCTTCAATTATTACAACCGTCTTCCCTGACGTCTGATGATCAACTGACCACGAGGCTAGCTCGGGCTTCGCCTCGCTTACTCCACCGGCCACAAGTATCTCGTGCCGTCACTTGTAGCACGGACTTCCTGCTTGCCACAATGTACTCGTGGAGACCATGCACAGCAGGGTCATCACACTCTCCCCCCTTTTTAACAAAATGACACTTTATGGAACATCAAGTGTCATTTTCATTTAACCAAATATAGTAAATCAATTGAATTGTATTCCCACTAGGGATTATGGTTCCTGATTATCCGCAATTACTGCCCTTTAAAACTGCCTTTAATATTTACTGCCTGCTTCCTAGTACTAAGCTAGTGAAGAGTATCTCATCTTTGCACCTATTGCATCTGTAGTGTTGTCTAGTCACTATATCTACTCTATCGGGTTTAAAGTGAAATGATGATAGTGATGATGATGATGTCAGCTTTGAGATATTTACTACATAGAAAATTGGATTAAACCAATATTTCTACTTCACCTTTCACAGGGTGTTAAACCCCAAGGACTCTTAGCTGATATGATAGTGGTGAGATATATTTATCATAGTGCTTCCGGTTTCCCAGAAGCCTCTATAACACCTTTTACAGGGTAATTACCCAACCCCAAGGAATCTACCACTGAAAAAAAAAAATGCATGTTGAGATATTTTTTTCATAGACCAAAGTCTCACCTTTCACAGAGCAATTACCCAACTCCAAGGAATCCAACATGAAAACAATGATAGTTTAGATATATTTTTCATAGATCTTAGAGTTTCCTCCAAGTCTATAACACCTTTAACAGGGTAGTTAACCCCAAGGAATCTCAGACACCTTTCCCCCTTTAGATGGACACAGATGAGTTCAACTCCTCTACTATGCTTGTGCTTTGATGTGTGCACTCTTTCTTTACCATCAGTCCATCTAGTCAGCATCAGTATAATTATAGCAGTTTATAAGCTTGGGTGTGGTGGACAAATTTACCATGTCTCTGTGCTGTGCACCTATGCTAAACATTTTAAATTAAATATTTTTTATCAAAGTCATTCTGTGGACAAAAAATTTTCCCTATATTATCTATTGCTACATCTTACTAATTTCATTCTTCTGTGCTGTTCCTGGGGAGAGAATTTTTTTATTTTTTATTTTTTTTTAAAACTTTTGAACTACTGTTATTACATGAATCCTAAAATAATCCTAATGAACTACTAACCTAAGTTAAATACATGTACACTATTCCTTAGTTTAAAATACTACTCACAAATCTTTCGTTCATCATTCATACCTGTTTTATTCTCTTTCATTCCCATTCATTCCATTAACTATCCTTGATCTTGATCCATGCCTGCAGGCTGTGTGTGTCTTGATTGTACTCTGGCGCTTGCTTTCTAGGTTCTCATTCCTTGGTTCGCACGACAGTCTGTTCTGCTCTTGGGTCTTTCATAGTAGGATAGCTGGTAATCTTGCAAATATACTAACTAAAAATATACTTTAATTTTAAGAGTCCTGGGAAGTAAAGGTGGTCGGTGTGATGTTAACCAAATCACAACCATCGCCGATTGATCTATAAAATATAGATCTAGCCCTAAATGCCCAAAACTTGGGAAATTATTGAAGTGCACAAGACACAGACAGGATAAACGCCACGCGGCATGTACTATGAAAGACCATCTGTGTCAGGAATGACTGAAGTGCACGAGACAAGAGGCTGTTGATAGACATGACTACCAAAGCCCCACGGCATGATCTTTAAGAAAATAAAAAAAAAGAAGAAAATGGTACAGCGATCTGACAGACACTCTAATATGGGTGTCGAGCACTTATGGGCATTCCATTTCTTTCCTCACTTCACTCAGCTCAACTCAGCTTTGGAGATTAGGCCTTTAATTGTTCTGTGTCTGTTAAGTTCAATTCCACGACGATTCTAAGCCACTGTCTGTCATAAAACTGCGCCTACTTAGCACAACTCTCTTGTGCATTTCCAGGGATTCCAAAGATCAATCTTTGCTAATCCTAAACTGCCACAATATACCGTTTCCTCCCGTCCATCAATCACTAGGGCTCCTTTCGTCAAGAGCTCCCTCTTTCCTCTCATTCGTCCAACCAATCTTCCTCCCTCCCTCTCTCTCATTACACTCTGACACCAACGCCCCCATCGAAACAACCCAAAAACCATTTCTAAAAATGGAGAACAGGGGAGACAACCTATGTTTACTAGAAAACGCTGAAATATGCAAACGGGATGCAACTCTTGGGTCTGTTAGCGTGGACCGTTAGCCCAAGCATAGATCTCTCCCTGATGGAGATACGATGTGATTTCCGCAAGCCAAAGGGGGTCAAGTCTGTCCCATTGCTAGAAATGGAAATGCTACTTAATATTCATGATGGCTAAAAGTCGAACAGGGTTCCGTCACAAGTAAGACGTAAGGGAGAAAGGGGGCTGTGTGGAAGTGTGTGGAATTACGCAATTGAAGAAACCCTTGGGGAGACAACGACGAAAATTAAACTCGTTACGATCCGTATTGACACTGTATATGTGAAGTAAACACACATTGTTTGAAAGGAATATCTGAAACTGTTTAATAAGATAAAATGTAGTGAAGGTACCAAGAATAAAAACGTAGTTTCATCATCGCTAACACCGTCTTCATCGTCGCATCCGTCGTCGGCGTCGTCAATGTGTGGGTTTAGATGAGTTAAGAACCGATATTACGTCACATGGTGCACCCCATATGCACCCCTTCCCTGTTTTCAGTAGCATACTTATGTATAGAAGCACCAAAAATACAGTGTAACCTGTTACCTGTTCTTACTCGTTGATCGTATTGAAACCCTAGGGGATCGGTTAGACCCACTTGGGCGCCATCTTGCGATGCAGCAACCATTTCTGTGCTCCATGCTCAACGTATTGTTGTCTGTCCATTTCAGGTGAGGATGACCAGTCCTTTCATCCAATGGTGGCTGGATTAGGTTCTGTGAGTGCGCAGACAGGTGGCTGATAAGACCAATTCTAGCACTGAAAGTTCTTGAGCAGTGTGGACAGGGAACAGAGGCTGCATCTTTCTGGTGGTTTACTTCAGTGTCTTTCCTGGCTTGTCTTTTTTTCATGAATTGCTGCTGCAGATCTAGCAGCTTCATGGGCTACAGCTCCTCGGGGAAGAGAGGAGCGTCAGGATGAGCGGTCACATGCAGCGACTTCCCAGATTTTAGGATCAAATACAGAAGTCTTTCAGTGAGGTCTTGAGGTTGTCATTGAAACGTTTCTTCTGTCCAATTTGAGACCGTTTTCCATTTTGTAGCTCACCATATCCTCTCTTTTTTGCCCCTCTATCTGTTTCTGCCAGCCTGTTCTCGTTTAATACACATTTCCGACAGGTGGTTCATTGTCTCTAACTTTGATCTCAAAGACTTTAGCGCGCAGCGCATTCAGTAAAACAAACATATGTCTGTACTTAGTATTACCAGGAAACAAACACATAATTCTATACAGTGTAAGTAAAAGTCAAGGACTCTTTTCTACATCTTTGAGTGTATTGGGCTTATAGGACCACATCTGTATTTTATAGACCAATCGGCACTCGGTAAGTGAAATGGTCAACATCAAGCCAGTCGCCTTTACTTCCCACGACTTTACCTCGTACCCATTCAAGGCTGTGTCGACCTGGGAGCCATGGTCACTTTTTAGACGAAAAAAGTCGGGCTCTGTCAGGCTCACAACTTCCGGATCCGCAAGCGAACAACTTTCGTCTGTATATTGTACCACCACCACCACTACCACCACTACCACCAACAACAACAAACACATATGTCTGCACTGTGTAGCGCCGACAAACAAACACACTTACTGATACACAGCGCTGCCAGAAGCCGGATGGCCGCCGGTGGCGGGTTGCAGTCTGGGAAGATCGGCTGCAGGGTGTAGTAGGCAAACGTCAGCGCCACCACTGCTTGGGCAGTCGGCCGAATCACAATGAGGCTGACCTAAACCAACAATGACATATTTCAACGCAGTGTTGCCACTTTGGATGTTTTACATCCAGATTTAGATGTTTTCCCTTGACTTTAGATCACGTTTTTGACGTTTAGATGGTTGATGATGTTTTTCTAGATGTTTTTCATTTGGAGTGAATTTATCAAATCTAACCTAAGAAACAGGGTGACATTTGACCTCTTAAATGCTATCTTGACAATAAAATTCGGCCTGATAAGAGTAGGATACAGCTGTTCCACTTATCAGCTCCCTGATTGGGTATTAAAAGAAATTGGAACAGCTAAAGCATACCAGAGTCATTTTGGATCTAAAGCTTCAACTTCATCATCCAAGCTAATTTTATTTTTTGATTTTGTAAGGCAGACTTTAGTAAAGAAGAGGACATGATTCTATAGGGTAAGTCATTTCAATTGCTATGTAATTTGTGACTTTCTTTTTTGATGTTTTTTTCTAGATGTTTTTACGCAAATTTAGATGTTTTCAGATATTTTTTGACTCCGTTTTGGATGTTTTTTGTCATAGAAAAGTGACAACACTATTTCAACGCTTCTATATTATTTCTTCTGCTTCTTCTTCATGCTGAACAGCTGTACTCTCCGGCAGAATGTTCTTGTTTATCGTCCAATTCTGGAGTTTGTACTTGTTCCAGAACTTGAGTTTTCCGTGCGCATTTGTTTTACAGATGTTGTTTGTTTGTTTGCAGACTGTTGGTTCCTCGTCTCTCAGGTAGACTTCGAAGAAAACAACCCTAAAGTTTCATCTTTTTTCTGCGTTCGCCCTTTAGAAGGCGGTAGACACGATATGTTGTGATGTACGGCTAGTTTGCTATATCTGCACACATCTGCTCAACACACGATTGCAATAAACAGTGTTTAATACCCATATGAAAGATGTGTCTCATCGCTATGAGAAGAGGCAAACTTAACATGCTATGATAACTTGAAATTGTGATTGAAAGAGAGACAATGAAGACAACGAAGGAAGATACAGTATTCAGTCTATTGACATTAAAAAGAAGTAAAGAAATACTGACATCCTAGAAGATCTGAGCATCAAGGAAGATTGGCAAGTAAACAGCATCTTGTCTCGGAAACTGAAATATTTTGACCATATTAAGCACCACGCAGGGTTGGAAAGAATAAGAGGAGAAGACACGGTACCAATAAAAGAGTGACAGGGGCCGACCAGCACAAAGACAGGATATGAGTGACACCTTGGGCAGGAAAGATCACCAGGCGGGAGAGCTAGCGATATATCGAGTTTCTTACACGCAGGCTATGACCTGTTCTGCAAAGGGTGTGCTACGCTACAATGATGATGATTATCATATTAATAAAGTAACTGAAAATGTATTGATCGGCACTCATAAAAAGAAGTGAAAAGATAGAAGAACATATGGCTCCTGTCTGGGTTCCGGGGCCCTTTTATAGGGAAAACAAGAATAGACCCACTGCCTACCCACAAGCATGTCGTAAGAGTCGATTAAGTGGGAGCTTACTTCAAAGTCGGAGTGCATCTGGCTGAGAGGCAAGGAACCAGCAGTCTGGATACAAATAAGTCAGATCTGTAAAAGGGATGCACACGCAACACTCAGGTTCTGGAACAGGACTGCAGTCCAGAAGTGGATGAACAACCATAACTTTCCGCCAGAGTTTACAGCTGGTGAACGCGAAGAAGAAGAAAAGAACATATAGGAATGATTATCATAGCAGGAAACGGTGTCAGCACACAAAACGATGATGTCAGAGATCTGGTAAAGTTGAAAGGCCAACATCAGGCAGTCAGTGAAGAACTTGATGATGGTGATGAAGTGTAAAAGTTCCCCGAGTGGTTTCCGGGGCCCCATCATGAGGAAAAAAAAGAATAGACCCACTGCCTCCCCAAAAGCATGTCGTAAGAGTCGACTTATTGGGGAGCTTCCTTTGAAGTCGGAGTGCATCTGCCTGAGGGGCAAGGAACCAACAGTCTGCATTCAAGTGAATCAGATCTGTAAAACTGATAACACGCAACACTCAGGTTCTGGAGCAGGACTACAGTTCAGAAGTGGACGAACAACCAGAACTTTCCGCCAGAGATTACAGCTGGTGAACGCAAAGAAGAAGAAGAAGAAGAAGAAGAAGAAGAAGAAGAAGAAGAAGAAGAAGAAGAAGAAGAAGAAGAAGAAGAAGAAGAAGAAGAAGAAGAAGAAGAAGAAGAAGAAGAAGAAGAAGAAGTGTAAAAGTTGTCCGTGTGCAAATGTTACAGAGTATTGCACTTTGTCTCGGTTGTGTCATTGACAAGTGTTGTATTTCTTATTCTGTATGACTGTGTTATTGACATAGTGCTCAATGCAGACCCGCCAACTCTGGACTACAAATAATTTTGAAACCATTTTGTACTGCCTCAAACATAACTGTGCTAGATGGCTAGACGGTTAAAGGGGGTTTCCCGGGTTTGTAGCTGTTTGATTCTCATCCTTGAACAGTTAATCTACATACTGCAGTATTTGAGAGGGACAACTAGAAATTGCGAAGGAAAAGGTGTTCATCTTGTTTGTGTGGATGACATTTGCGCGTTTGCAAAATGAAACATAAAAACAGCAATAATACACAAGTATATAAGTGAAGTAAAGGACTTTTTGAAACGCCTTTATGTCAGCTGGGCATAGACGGGTAGATCTATATTTTATAGATCAATCGGAACTCGGTGTGTGATATGGTCAACAAATATCACGCCGGCCGCGTTCACTTCTCAGTGTACCTGGTATCCATTTAAGGTTGGGTCAACCTGAGAGCCAAGGTCACTTCTTAAAGAAAAAAAAAAGTGGCGCGGTCAGGACCTTAACCCTTGACCTTCCGATCCGCAAGCGAGCGTCTAGATAAATGCAGATTCTCTTTCAGTTTATGATTTTCATTTACTTCTGAATGAGTATATGATCCGCTGTACTGTATCCATGACAACAGACAACATGCTGGGAGTAGATGGTTCTATAGAACTACAAGGAAGAAATAAACAGCACGCCACAACAACCGGGGTTAGCATAAGACAGGATAATGGTATCCTAGATGATATCCTAGATGGTTCTATAGAACGACAAGGAAGAATTAAACAGCACACAACAACAACAACCGGGGTTAGCATAAGACAGAATACTGGTATCCAAGATGATACCCTAGATGGCTCTATAGAACTACAGGGAGGGATTAAACAGTAAAACAAATGGGGTTAGCATATTAGATGTTTATATATCTAAAGACAGAATAATGGTATCCAAGATCACTTTTAATATCACCAAAGACAAAGTACACAATATAATTACTATAATTGTTTGAAAGTGTATTGAAAATATATTGAATGTGACAATCTATACGTCTACAATCTTATACAATTATTATATAAGCTGTGCGATATTGCACAACCAAACATAATTAGTAGGCGTAAATATCCAATATTTAGATAGAAAACAAAAATCTATAATAACATCTAAGGTGGATCAAACATGGACCGTAAACATTTGTGTTACCATTAACTTTATAATAAAATCAAAGAACGATCAAACAGGGGTCGTAAAGATTTGTGTTAAAATTAGCTTTATAATAAATTCAAGGATGGCGTTAAATGTCTGCAGTTTGTCTGCTTCATGTTTCTGTTTTCCTTAAGCAGACGGTACACGGACTCAGTACACATTCTTAGTGTGTTTTCCAAGGTTTCATTTTGGAGAACAAATAATAGACAAACTGGCCTCATCAAGCATGTCGTAGAAGGCGACTTATGGGGGATGTTTCCTTCAAAGTTGGAATGCCTCTGTCTGAGAAGCCTGGGACCAACAATCTGCACACAAACACCTGAAGCCTTTAATATTGACCCTGCCACTTGGGAGGCTGCTGCCCAGGGCCAGACTTCATGGCGAACGTCTGTTCAAAGAGTGGCTGTGACCTGCGAGTCTTCAAGAAAAAGGGCAGCCGAGCAGTGCAGGCTGGCTAGAAAGACCCTCACCAACAGACACTGTTCCCTGTCCTTATTGTCCTAGATCCTTCTGGGCTCATAGTGGGCCTATAAGTCACCTCCGGACTCACAGATCTCAGCTATAGTTGCATGACGAATCAAGGAAAGAGTTGTCCTCATCATTTATAATAGACAAACAACATACAAATAAGCCATATCTGTAAAACTCAAGTTGTGGATCAAGACCAAAGTGCAGGAGTGGTTGAACAACCAAAACTTTCCATTGGAGTTTACAGCTGACGGTACATGTAACGAATTCAGGCCCAGCTCCGCCCATCTTCACACTTATGATTGAAGGAGTCCGGCCAGGACACTGTGATTGGACGTTCAGTCTCCGCCATAACCTGCTAGTTAGTTAGTGAGCTGGGTTATCATCATTGCACTTCGGACATGTCCATAGGTGCTCAGATCCTCCCCTCAGTATGAACCACAACGTCCGATAGCTAATAGTACCAGTTCTATGTTGAGTAACAAGTCTTCTAGTGTGTCTGGTGTGCGTCTCGTTTTTAGCTATGCCGATCTTAATTCACAAGTCTGCCATTCTGGCGAGTGATGTGGATCCACTGCCCCCAAAGTCCTCTATCTTTTCCATCAAGTGTAAGCGGCAGTGCCGTCATCTTTGTCGAAGCTCCTACCGGCGACCACGCATGCTTTATATTGCAGGATGTGAGCGTCTGTAGTGAACCCATAACATGTACAACTGGCTCTAACCCCAAACCCCCCTCTGGTACACATTAAACCTAGATCCCACAAGACTGAAGTCTACAGCAGTAGACCAGGACCTGTAACCTTAAGCAAAGTTCACCAGCCTGACCAAGCATCAATGAAAGTTGACCTAGTGTGTAGATGGGCAGAGCTAGGCCTGAGTTCGTTACCAGTTCCCAGCCGGCGAACGCTAAAAAGAACAACAAAAAGAAGAAGATCACACATCATCTTACCCATAGTTGAAGGAAAGCTGGTAACGGACCAAACGCTTCTCTGATGTAGGCGTAGTCTCCGCCAGAACGAGTGACCGTGACCCCGAGTTCAGCGTAGCAGAGGGCCCCACACAGGGAGATCAAGCCACACAGGCACCATATGATCAGGCACAGGCCTACCTGGCAGAGCAAGCAACAGTCAGTTAACAACTAGCTGCAGATCGGCCCACTCATAAAATCAAAGATAGATCAAACATGGATCGTAAACGTTTGTGTTAACATAAGCCTTATCATAAAATCAAAGATGGATCAAACATGGATCGTAAACGTTTGTGTTAACATCAGCCTTATCATAAAATCAAAGATGGATCAAACATGAATCGTAAACGTTTGTGTTAACATCAGCCTTATCATAAAATCAAAGATAGATCAAACATGGATTGTAAACGTTTGTGTTAACATCAGCCTTATCATAAAATCAAAGATAGATCAAACATGGATCGTAAACGTTTGTGTTAACATCAGCTTTATCATAAAATCAAAGATGGCTCAAACATGAATCGTAAACGTTTGTGTTAACATCAGCCTTATCATAAAATCAAAGATAGATCAAACATGGATCGTAAACGTTTGTGTTAACATCAGCCTTATCATAAAATCAAAGATAGATCAAACATGGATCGTAAACGTTTGTGTTAACATCAGCCTTATCATAAAATCAAAGATGGCTCAAACATGGATCGTAAACGTTTGTGTTAACATCAGCCTTATCATAAAATCAAAGATAGATCAAACATGGATCGTAAACGTTTGTGTTAACATCAGCCTTATCATAAAATCAAAGATAGATCAAACATGGATCGTAAACGTTTGTGTTAACATCAGCCTTATCATAAAATCAAAGATGGCTCAAACATGGATCGTAAACGTTTGTGTTAACATCAGCCTTATCATAAAATCAAAGATGGCTCAAACATGGATCGTAAACGTTTGTGTTAACATCAGCCTTATCATAAAATCAAAGATGGCTCAAACATGGATCGTAAACGTTTGTGTTAACATCAGCCTTATCATAAAATCAAGGATGAATCAAAACATGGATCGTAAACGTTTGTGTTAACATTAGCATTATCATAAAATCAAGGATGAATCAAAACATGGATCGTAAACGTTTGTGTTAACATTAGCTTTATAATAAAATCAAAGATGGTTCAAACTTGGGTTGCGGAGCGGTGTACAAATCATCTTCATCATCATCATGTGCCGAGCCGGCAAGCGTATGTTGTCATGTTTGGCCATCTCACGCGATCACCAGAATCACAGATCAGGTCAAGGTTTTTGTCTCGCCCCCTACTGCCCGGGACATCGGGGTATTTATCTTTTTGACTTCCCCTTGTTCTCTTTCCATCAATCTTGTCAGTTGTTACAGAGTTCTGGAATCCATTCCTTCCCATAATGTCTCCACAAAACATCGACTGTCTACGTCTAATCGTTGGAGTAAGTTGTATAGACCAGTGAAGACAGGGGCTTCGAGCAGAGTGGCAAGCTTCACTAAGAAGGTCACGGGTAGTGAGAATACTTTGGATCTTTTCTTCACGCTATGCCGGCGTGGTGGGGAATGAACAGACAGACAGATTGGCTGGATCTGCACCACTGGGTGGCGAATTGATACATGACAAGGTAGACGGGTTAGGGCCCTTTGGGAAAAATCAACAGAGTCATAAACGAGACAAGATTATTTTGGCCTGGAAACCAAATAAGATAGCCAAGGAACCTTCCTTCTTTTAACTGCCCTCGGGGCTGCCGAAAAAGGATCAAGTTTGGAATTTTTGTTGAACAACTGAAATTATGGCCTGGAGAGAATGAGGCACCTGGGTGTAGCCAGAGGGTCTGGCAAGCTCACTACACTCAGAGGAAAGGCAAGACGGACATATAACCAAATTACGACTGGTACCATTAGTATTGGAACTCTGCTCTGGCTGCTAAAGATGAGGACGGAGCACACATGGGAATGCCTCGAGTGTTGTGATGTCCATTCTTGACTCAACTCAATTCAGTTTCACAACCAAAAAAAAAAAAAACGATGGATCAAACTTAAATCATAAAGGTTTGTCCGTTGATGTTTTGCTCATGGATTCAATTCCGTGCACACGAAGAGGCTGTACGATCTCACCCTTCTGGCAGTTATGACATAAAGGGCTTCTAGATCCAGCGCAAGGACTTCCCAGACACGACAAGGATAGAAGAAATGGATACAGAAGAATAGAATCAAATAAAATGGGATGAGTCCAGAAGCAGTGAAGAAATTAGGAAATGTCTGGGCGGTCACTAGTATCAACAGTAATAAGACAGAGAAGATGGCGCTATACCGAACATATCATAAGCTGAAAACAGCAGGGAATACACAAACATTGATTAAAATTGGAAATAAAGGAATTAAGAAGGCGAGGAACTTAAGATGAACGTTGATGAGAGAGGCCAAAACTGCTGGATTAGATTCCATCCATGATATTAAACTGACTGCACATGATAGAATAGAATCGAGGAATAGACCGCGAGCCCTGTGTGACAGATACAAGTACAACAGGAAAACGAATGCATGAATGAATAGAAAGGTTAGTTGCGTATCCTTTACAGGACGTTGCAGAACCGACCCCAGCAGCCCCTGGATGTTGTGTGAATGAATAGAAGAATATACCACATACATTCACTCCTGTGTACGCTTATTGGTGTTAAAATGAAGCCAGTGCTGCGACATGACGAGCGGCTAGCCAAGCCGTTACAACTGGGATTCTCATGCGGGAGGCGCTGTTTCGACCCCTGGTGAGGTGATCATAGTTTTCTGTTGGGGGTCAAAATTAAACATCCTAACCCGTACATTCAGTGGCGACAGGACGAAACATGAGGCCTTAAACCCTCAGTCTTAGGACATTCCTGTCTACACCGCGCTAAAAAGTAGGAAAAACTGACAATGACAGCTGTGACGTATTCTGTGTTTTTCGATTTCCGCCTGTCGACGGACTTTTACCGTGAGCACCTTGCATACGGGTTCTCCGGATGTGTCGTCCTTGTTCGAGACACTTTGACGCCAGATCCACAATCCCGGGATCACGAGGCATTATAGATTCTTTGTTTCAATTATACAAATTTATTGCCATCGCACTGGATCGATCCCGATGTTCACCAGTCCAAGGTTAGGGTTGTGACCTTTGACCTAACGATAGGAATTGACACAGGTGTCAACAGGTGAAAGCTAATAGTCGTATTTTAGGAGACAATACAAGACTACTATTTGAATTGCCTGGAACTGCTTCGAATGAACAGCGCAAAGAGTCCCATGATAGGTGCCGGAAGCTGGGTGCATCTCTCCATCCTAGGGGCTGACCATGTCACCCAATCGATTATTCTTTGAGCTTCCCCTAGTGCCCTTCATTGATGACCGTAACCTCAAGGACGTTGTGGTCAAGAGTCGGTTACGTCCCACCTCTGAATTCCACTTGGCCACGATCTCTTGCCATAGACCTGCTTGCGAGCCGTATCCGATTGTGGTTCAGGTGTACAGTCTGGGAATTCCCTAACGCTATCTTACACGTGCGTCAAGTATTATATTGCACGAACGGCAATGTTATTTACACCATCATTTGCAAGTTAGTTAGTTAGTTAGTTAGTTAGTTAGTTAGTTAGTTAGTCAGTTAGTTAGTTAGTTAGTTAGTTAGTTAGTTAGTTAGTTAGTTAGTTAGTTAGTTAGTTAGTTAGTTAGTTAGTTAGTTAGTTAGTTAGTTAGTTTGGTTATCATCATTGCACTCCGGACATGTTCATAGGTGCTCAGATTCTCCCCTTAGTATGAACCCCAGCGTCCGATGGCTAATAGTACCAGTTCTATGTTGATTAACAAGTCTTCTGGTGTGTCTAGTGTGCGTCTCGTTTTTTTTTTTTTTTTTGCTATGCCGGTCTTATTTCCCAAGTCTGCCATTCTGGCGAGTGACGTGGATTCACTGCCTCCAAATTCCTCTGTCCGTCCCATTTCTCTGAGGGCATTAATAATATCAGCATGATCCAAAGGCTCACCGTCGGTAGTGATAGCGGATCCAGTCAACCTGTCAGCTCTTTCATTTCCATCGACGCCTGCGTGTCCCGGAACAAAAATAAAGGTGACTCCACGCACAGTGGACTTCTGTAATGATTCAAGCCATTGTCTTCGCACCGAACCTGCCTGAACCCTCCGGAACATACTTATTGAATCACTGAATATGCATACGCGGGTGTATTTTTTTTTTTCGAGCCAGGCAAACGCTTGCGTCACTGCCATCAGCCATCACCTCCATCGTCATGCTGCTGGTTGTCATGGAGAAGACACCGTTGGCTTCTTCGACTGTTCTGTCCGCTGAGCGTGCTGTGAATGCCCTGCGTTTCTTTTTGTGGCGTATAACGGATCATTTACAAAAGATGTGGTATGGAATACAGCGGTGAAACGGTGCTACGACTACCGGACAGGTTCGGGCAACATCTTTTGGACGTGCAAAACGGCGCTCTCAAACCAGCACCGTTGTTCTTCAGTTCTCGGGATCACCAGGATATCCTCAACATGAAGGTTACAGTCATCAGTTTTAGTCATTCCAATGGTCGAATCCATAAGTCCATCCAGAACCGCGACATCCACCTAGGGGACTTAACATTCAACACAGTTTTATAAAATATCTTTCAGTTACGGTCCTTATCGTTCGCTGGCCAGTATTTATTTTCGCTAGCCACAAATGTGCCTTTTATTCTACTGGCTGGACAGTAATCACAGATGTGAATTATATGAGAAATACGTCAGCTAAGTAATCTTTGTGTATTCTTGTTCGTATTTGTGGTACTGTATTTATGTGATGTGCTGATGAATGCTCTCTAACGCAACGCTCACTTGTTGTTTATTTTTTTTTATGGTAATGCGAAGCTAACTGATCTACGTTGTGTTTCCTTGTTATCTATTCGCGATATTTCCATATTTTAACAACGAAACATGATACAAACCACACCAGCTGTTGCCATAAAAAGATATCAAGCAAACAAAAAGTGTTACCAGTCAGCTCCACATAACCACAAAGAAAAAAAAAGAAGACAAGTATACGTTGCGGATAGAGAGCATTTATCAGCGCATTACATATATTTAACAGTACTTCAAATACAAAAAAAAA